TGATGTATGTTCGAAATCTTGTGATGTATATTCAAAATCTTGTGATGTATGTTCAAAATCTTGTGATGTATATTCAATATCTTGTGATGTATATTCTAAAACTTGTGATGTATATTCTATAATCTTGTGATGTATGTTCGAAATCTTGTGATGTATATTCTATAATCTTGTGATGTATATTCAATATCTTGTGATGTATGTTCAAAATCTTGTGATGTATATTAAAAATCTTGTGATGTATATTCGAAATCTTGTGAGGTATATTCTATAATCTTGTGATGTATGTTCGAAATCTTGTGATGTATATTCGAAATCTTGTGATGTATGTTCGATAATCTTGTGATGTATATTCGAAATCTTGTGATGTATGTTCGATAATCTTGTGATGTATATTCGAAATCTTGTGATGTGTGTTCTACAATTCAGTGATGCGTGCAATAAAATTGCATGACGCAACAGAAAAGTAAGGACAATTTTCATTGGTTAGAAATAACGAAAGTAGCTGAAGCGTCGGGAAAACCATGCAGGTGAGAAAAAACACATCAGTTTGTTTATTGCAGCACTAATTACGAGATGCACGAGTGTTGTTCCTGGTGACATGATGGAGATATTTCGGCCTGCTAGGGAAAAAACTCAGTAAACGTAGATATATTGACAAAATTTGTAGGTACTTGTAACGATATGTCACGATGCTGCATTGTCAGATACAGTATTTATACATGCATGCTAAAAAGTTAAATCTCGTAGTAATCAATATAGCAGAAGAATAATGAAGAGTACATACTACAAAAACTGTGCAATTTGTAGCAAGATTAATTTTTGTTTAACAGCTGTTTTTATTACATTTTATTTCGTATTATTACTACCAAATACTGCTACCGTTTGTTAATGTTATGCACATGGTTATCTTGTACTTGCAAGTAAATGTAACATTTAAAAAAAAAATAATGAAAAAATAAGTCATTTAGGCTATTTGATAATAACATGCTAAATGAACATGTTTTGCTTTTTAATTCTCCTTCACTCAGTCTTTGTATAATGTATATTTTTAGACGAGCTGATCGCCAACCAGGAGATCAGAATGATAGCATCTGCTCCTGCCACTTTAAGGATGGTAAGAAGGAGGGGGACCCTGCATATTTTGCATGGAATGAAGGAAAGGCCATGGATTTCTCTGATCCTGAATGTACAAAAAGGTGAAATTATTTTTCAAAATATGACCGACATCTTGTTTTTGGATGGTGGGTGGGTGGAGTTTAATTGAGAATATTTTACTAAAAATCTTTAAAAGGGTACATGTATAAACAGAGTAGCTTACAACTGAATAAAAAAATAATTCAAGTTTAATTATTTTACAAAGGAGGAAAAAACTCAAAAGTGAGGAGTCCCTGTCATCTTCACAGATGGACCAGTTGCAGATTCCACAAGCACCAAAATGTCAATATCAAGAAAAAGTAAAGCTCATTTAAAACACCAATGATGACAAATGACCAACACTGAAACATTTTCAATAATTTTTAATAATATATAAAGTTCTTTTAACTGTACATGATTTACAATATATTTTCAGTTGATATCAGAGCACAACTACTCAGCATCCTGCACATTTAACTGTACTCAAGAAATGCAGCGCCTCTCAACAGAAATACAACTGGAAAAGGAATTGCTTGCCCTAAAAATAGAGTCTAGTAAAAGGAAGCCAATATCAATCCACGATATTAAATACAACGAAGAGAAGGTACATTTAAAGGAATTCCAATTGTGATTTCCTATTTCCTAACAATTTCAGTTACTGTAATAAAAACTTGTTGCCATTGAGGGATGAACATCTTAGATTGACTGTTATGTTAACATATTTTGTTATTATTTGGGAGTGTTAGGTCTCTGATCAGCAGGGGCATTTTCTCTATATAAGAAGAAAATGGAGACTCCCTACCCACCCGATGTATTTTGTCGGACAGTTTTCTGTACATTGCAGGTAAATTTTTTATTTATTAACTTTCCAGCCTCTTATTGTATAGTACATTTTGGGGTTTGAAGTCAGTTTTTGCTTTTCTTTAATTTTTAAAAAAAAATTATTTAAATTCTCCTTTTCTTAGAATAAAATTCAAGAAGTAGCTTCTGATTGTAATGTATAAGACAGTCACTACAGACATTGAACTTTGATTTGTTATCAAAAGGATTGATTTAAACTTGTCTAAATTAATTGTAAACAAAAATAAAAGGGGACACCTGCTATTTCTTTAAGTGTTTTTCACTGGGGGGTGGGGAAACTTTTTTGTACATACTTAAGCAATAGGAGGGATTAGATAAGAATCAATTAGTATATCAGAGTCTTAAATAATATACTTTGCATAAGCATAAAAAAATTCTATATCAGTCTTTTTGAAACCTTTGAATTTTGCTTAATTAACTATGATTTATCCAATTTTGGAGCTTTTTACCTAATTCTGGGTAGAATCCACCCTTATGAAATTATTGACTCAATTTTGACTTAAGGACGGCCCACACTTTTACGGATCCGGTTCTAATTTTACACAAATAAAATAAAATATAAAAAAATTATGATTTTCACTTTTCTATTGACATAAATCTTTTTGATTGATTGAGAATGATTTAGCAAGTAAATATTTGTTTATTATAGTCATATAATATACATTATTTATGGAAATTAAAACTTTGCATTCTGTCCATAAGACCTATATATGTCATTTAGAACTTATCCAGACACAAAATTCTTAATTGCTTTTAAAGACCTAAATCTTTTTAATTTTCTTTTAAGCAAACTATTTTTATTACTTTGCATAAGCATAAAAAAATTGAATAATTGAAAAAAAAAAAATTCTATATCAGTCTTTTTGAAACCTTAAATAGTTTTTGAAATTAACTATGATTTTAAGAATTATTGAGATTTTTTTCTGAAAGGCATGGACAGATTCAACACCGATTTGTTAATGTTTTGCAGTAAAAATTTCAAATTTTCTCTAAGCAAATGAATATTTTTGATCTTCATAAGTTTTAACATAAATTTGATGTGATTTGGTGCATAACTAAGAGAAATATGATATCACACTTTTTTATGTGCAATTTTGGCTGTTGAGTTTTTAGAGGTATGAGACATGTTGTATGAAAATCATCCCTTACTTGAAATTATTGAAAAATTACTCAGAAAATTTTGACTTAAAATTAATATCACTTTATTAACATTAAAGCACAAAAACAATTCATTGTACAAATATTTTATTTATTACAGTCACCAATATATCCAAATATCATCACCGGCCCAGACGTCATTCACTCCTTTGAATTGTGCTGGTAGCAGTAAGGTGTCATCATTTGAGATGGTCACAGTATCCAATACACTGAAGTCACAGGACTCAAATTTCATACATGTTCACAGGTAGGTGTATAGTCTTTGAAATTACCACAATTGACTAATTCTGGGACAGGTAAGTATGTAAGTATAGGAATGAGAGCACCAAATCCCCGGATGCACACATGGCTTTGTTTGTTATGGAACATTAAACCGAATACTGAATGGGTAGGCGTTACGCCATTGGCTGAAATCAGGTATTTAATTGTTTTCATTTTAAAGTAAAATTAATGACCTTTGAAATAAATGATAGGATGAGGGAATATTACAGAAACTATAGAAATGCCAGGGAAGATTTTAGGAGTGGGGGTTGATTTTTTATGCCGCGTGTTATTTACTGCGAATCTCTATAAGTTGAAAATAACTGCAATTTTGACCTATAAACGCCATGGGACCATATATTTTTTTCAGTATTTTTTGTTAGGGCTTAGAACAAAGTTTGAAATGATGCTAAAGATTTTTCTGAAATTGTCATAGTAAAGTACTGAGAAGGCCTAAGGTTTGTATGGAGTTCTATGGGAAAATAATTAGTGGTCTTTTCCCTATACAAGATGCTGTCTGATGGCGTAGTGTAGAATGTAGCGTAGAATGTTTTCCAAGTCAGCTTAAATGCAAAGGTTTGTTTTAAAATTTATCATAATGACTTGCAAAAATTTAATGCAGTTAAATTTATTGTATTCTTGAAAAATTGACTGTAACACAATTTTTTTACACAATTACAAATAATCAAATTAATTTTTTTCCAACTTTTTTTCAGGGTCTCTGCCAAAATCTTTTGAGGATTTTTCCTCTGCTAGAGCATCCATGGATGCAATTGAAACAACCCAGGACATCCCAACACATATGGATAATCAGGCCATGGCCTACAGTATGTACAAAAGTTGCCATACTTTTAAAGCAGTAACTTGCGTGCCTCCAAATGGTGCACTTACATTTTGCTCCATGCTGTACCCAGGTTCTACTTCTGATGTAGCTATTGTACGTCACAGCCAAGTTTTACGAAAGTTCAAAGCTGGAGACCTTATTTTGGTGGTCAAAGGTTTCACCATTCATGACCAGTTGCCCCAGGGTGTCTGCTTAATTATAAAAGCTCTTTTATCGACACGAGGCCAGTTTACCATACAAGAAGCAGCACTGTGTTACAAGATTGCTAAAGCACTTATTCATGTGGAAAGAGCCAACGAGAGGATAAAGAATTACGAGATTCTCCGTTACATACCATCTACTTACAGACCAATCTCAACAAAAATATTTCAACTCTGTTCTTGTCTTGTAAACTTGCAAGCTCCACTTTTGAAAGAAATTACTTAAAGATACATGTACTTATTATAAATTTGCATTGGCGTGTGACAGTATACACTAAACAGTGAAGATATTCATACCAAAGTGCAAGGGATAAGCAAATTTTGATTTGTTATCAATGTCAATGGTTATATTTGTTAATTTTGTAGTATGTTGTAATACATGTACTTCAGAAAATGAAAATCCCTTTTGTTAGCATGGATTTATTACAAGAATGTTTGGCAATTCCATTCTTCATTTGACAATATAATTTGGAAGAGGGTTTACTTATAATTTTAAATCTCTAGTTTAAAGTATATTTACCTTTAAAGCACAACTCAACAAATTCATGTTTTCAACAATTTATCTATTAAGAAAGACAAAAATGTTACATTTTCACTTTGAGAATAACATCTTCAATTCATTAATAAAATGATTCTAAATTTTGATATTCTTTTTTTATGTAGTACATAGATTTTATTAATCATCATTGCTATTTAAAATAGTCTTATAAGCCAGAAGTTTTATGATGGATTGTGACATATCATGTCATACATTTATGAGACTTAGGAACATTCAACACATTTAACATGATTACCCATTTTCCATTGTTAGAAAATTCTAGAGGTACAAAACTAAGTGTCAAGAAGTTCAAACCAGAACTCAGTTTTCCATCAGTGCTGGAATGAAAATGTTAATGTAGAAATCTATCAGCTTTGGAACATTTGCTGTCCATTCAATGTCTTTTACTATTCTAATCACAATGCAGTCTACTCTTGTCCACACAATTAAGTCGCAGAATGTTTTGTTACATATGTGTAGCTGGCCTTGAATTTGATGATAGTATGGGTGACTGGTTTTCAGGCACAGGGTATCTTGTTTAAGATCTAAAAAAAAATCAAAAAACACTTAAGTTGTGTTATACCAGTACATATCCCCTCCTTTTTCAATATCTTCATACCATATTGAACAGCTGCACTTGTAAATTAATACATGTTTTGAAATCATTTACTCACCAAGATTTTTAATTTCAAAGTACTGGACAATACAGATTTTTAATGTTATTTACCTATGAAAAATCCTTCAAATTTTGTGCCCCATCTGCTCAACGATTTTATGGACACTTCACCTTACCATCTGGCTACTGTTGAATTTCATATTTGACCCATGTTATTTACCTGTGCCCCATCTGCTATGTTGAAGACGATGCTGTATATGGACACTTCACCTCTACAATATCAGGAATGGCGTCTTTGGCTTCTGGAGTTTGATAAAATACACTGCATGTTGGTGGTCGAACAACTAAGCCATCAGGTGAAGCTCCCAACACTCCGGATTCATGCAACCATATCCTTTTCAGAAAAAATTATAATACTACTGAATGCAAACAAACCATAATACAATTGATTTTGTAATGCAAACAAAGTCTAAGTAGAGCTTTTATAATCCTTCCACTTCAAAAAGCAAATTTTCTGGAATATGTTGGTAACTGAATATTTATGCCCCGCCATGAATATGGCCGGGGCATATAGTGTTTGTCATGTCCGTCTTCCGTCCTTCTGTCCTTCCATCCCACTTTGTGTTTAGCTCTGTTCAAAGCTAAGTTTCAAAGAAACTATCCAAGATATTTTCATCAAACTTCATATGCTGATAGATATTGATGAGAGCTATGCAACTGCAACAACATTTTTTGACCTTGACCTTTCCTTTGACCTTGACCTGACTTTTCTTAAATAGTGTTTAGCTCAGTTTTAAACATACCATTCAAGATGGTGTTATCAAACTTTACATGTTGATACAAACTTGCATAGATGATGCATCTAGAGATGAACACTACCGGACTTGCTTCGGATGCTGGATCTGACCTACATTTTCCAGATGAGTGACCAAATTAAAGTTTTTGGAGCAGGTCTATTCTTAAGGAACTATAAGCCCTACTTAGACCAAACTTGCTTGGATGATGCATCTAAGGATGGACACTACCAGACTTGCTTCGGATGCTGGATCTGACCTATATTTTCCAGATGAGTGACCAGGTTGAAGTTTTTGGAGCAGATTTATTCCTAAGGAACTATCAGCCCTACTTAGACCAAACTTGCATGGATGATGCATCTAGGGATGGACACTACCAGACTTGCTTCGGATGCTGGATCTGACTTACATTTTCATTCCCAAGTAACTATAAGCCCTACCTAAACCAAACTTGCATGGATGATGCAGCTAGGGATGGACACTACCAGACTTGCTTCGGATGCTGGATCTGACCTTTATTTTCATTCCCAAGTAACTATAAACCCTACCTGAACCAAACTTGCATGGATGATGCATCTAGGGATGGACACTACCAGACTTGCTTTGGATGCTGGACCTACATTTTTATTCCCAACTAACTATAAGCCCTGCCTGAACCAAACTGATCAAATTTTATACATGTACAAATTTCATGTTGCTTTACTAATATATCCTCGGCGGGGCATTCATGTCCTATGGACATATTTCTAGTTTTTTTTTACAATTAGACTTCAGTAATTGATTTCTGTTTGTCACCAGGATAAGTCCTGTTATTTGTTTTGACACATTGAATGTTAACATGTCAGAGGTTGAATGAATGTTATTTTGTGCTGTATACCTGACTGCTCTACAGCTGCATCAAAGTCCTTTTCATACTTTCTCAAAGCATCATCTTCATGAGTGATACCCCATGCAACAGCCTTGATGGACTCCAGATTGTAAGCCGACATCAGCTGTTTCTTCAGTGACAATGTCAATCTGGAGAAGAAAATATGATTTTTGGTTATTAATCTTATATTTCCTGCATCTTTATGTACAAATATCTAGTCATTACAGTCGAACCTCATTATCTCAAACTCAATGAGACCAAGAAAAATGTTGGAAATATCCGTGGATTCAAGAATAATACATAAAGAGTTATCAAGAATAAAATGTCCCAGTCTTTTATAAATGGTTTGGACTTCAAAATTACTTTGACATATCCATGAAATATGAGATAATGGGTTTGAGATAACAAAGTTTGACTGTAATTTTAAAAGTCTTTTTCGCAAAAATTTAATCACACGTCTTACCGCCTTTGCTTAGAACTGAGAACTGCACCAAAGTTGGAAGCTGATATGCTTTATTTCCTTACAATCGACCACATTGGGTTGTTTCGTTGCCAATGCAGCTCTTTTAATGGATTCAGGGATAATGCATGCTGTAACCATACCATAGGGGTATCAGAATGAACATACTCTGGTGATGTTAACAGGTCTTCAATGAGAGGTACAGGTGGACCAGGTTCACATGGCTCTGGTTCAAGAATCCAATTCAATGCTGAAAAATTTCATTACTTGTGTCATTCTCAAAAATACATGTATCATCCATAATATCCATATCACATATACCAAGTATTTATATAAGAGTCCATACATTTCATTTTAGTGAACACTGTCATGGGTTTTTGTAATGTATGCATTACATATCAAATTTACAACTCACTTGCATATATTTGTTCAGAATTGTTCCTGTATATAATTTTGCACGTGGCATTCTTAGTGTGAAAATGCCATGTAAAAATTGGTGCAAATGTACAATTAATATTTACTTAATTATTAACAAGGTTTCATAATGACAGAGTATTTAAATAATAGAAGAATGATCTGATAATTCGCAAGAATATGAAACAAAATATTTTTTTTAATGCAATTGAATAATTTATTTTTCCTTTCAAAAATGTATGCTCATGTACAAAAATGCTATCATATTTATAATATTGTCTTTCCAATTATTCAAAGGTTGTTATTAATATTTATTACATAGTATGTTCAAAAATTGGGCAATATACATAGCCAACTATATTATACTCCTCATCTTTGTACATTTGTTCACAATTAAAATTAACAATCGGTCAGTAACAAAATAACAGTTTCATAATACTCGTAATATAAAAATCAAATCAAACTTAAATAACAACAATAGTAACACCAAAATCATAACTTCCTTCTTATATTTTACCAATAAACCTTTCAAGGTGCAAAAAACACTGGTCACTTTCATCAAAGGGTCGGTTTAAAGCACTTCAAATATGAAGCAAATTTTTTAACAACTGATTTATTTATATTTAATGATTGATCATTTTTAAAAAAAAAAACAAAAAAAAAACAAGAGGCCCATGGGCCACATCGCTCACCTGAGCACTGTGGCTAGGAAAAAGTAAAAATTGGTTTTTTATTGAAAAGTTTAAATCCAAAAGTAGTCCCTTGACCAATCATGGCTTTGCTTTTCTTGAGAAGGTTATTTTTAAAGAATTTTCCTATATATTTCTATATAAAATTTGATCATCCTTTGTGGCCCCGTCCTACCCCCGGGGGACATGATTTGAACAAACTTGAATCTACACTACCTAAGGATGCTTCCATATAAATATGATCAATCAGGGTTTTGCTGTTCTTGAGAAGAAGATTTTTAAAGATTTTTCCTTTATATTTCTATGTAAAACTTTGATCTTCCATTGTGGCCCCGCCCTACCCCGGGGGTTATGATTTGAACAAACTTGAATCGACACTACCTGAGGATGCTTCCATATAAATAGGATCAATTATGGCTTTGTCATTCTTGAGAAGAAGATTTTTAAAGAATTTTCTTATATATTTTTATGTTAAACTTTGGTCAGCCATTGTGGCTCCGCCCTACCCCCGGGGGTCATGATTTGAACAAATTTAAATCTACACTACCTGAGGATGTTTCTCCATAAGTTTCATTTTTCCTGGCACAGTGGTTCTTGAGAACAAGATTTTTAAAACATACCATCAAATTTTCATTAATTCCCAATTATCTCCCCTTGAATGAGGGTGTGGCCCTTTATTTGAACAAACTTGAATCCCCTTCACCCAAGGATGCTTTGTGGCAAGTTTGGTTGAAATTGGTCCATGGGTTCTAGAGAAGAAGTCGAAAATATGAAAAGTTTACAGACAGACAGATGGACAGACAGACAGACAAACAGCTAGATAGACAAAATGTGATCAGAAAAGAGCTAGAAATGAAACATTCCTCACCACAAAAGCCAGAAGAATATAGGGACCACCACCAGTAACATGTTTCTGGGAAGAACCAAACCATGCAGAGATAAATATCAATAGTCCTGAATCTTCGATGCAGGACCAAGTACGAGAATTGCTACAAACACTACTCCGGAGACTTACCTATTATCCTATGATGTAACGTACTTTGTCCACTGCAGCTGGTTCCCTCATAAGCTGGTAGCGAGGACAGTTCAGGATGTCCTGTCAACTTTATTCCTCAACTTCCTGTCTTGGACTGAAAAGCAATAAGTGGAAATCTTTAGTGTTGCCTAGTGACTTTGAATTAAAAAGAAAGTTGCAAGATTGTGAAGGGGGGGGGGGGGTACTGATGCTGTGCATTTTAATTAAATGTACAAAATCTGTATTTCACAGTTTAATGCATTCATGTATTTTGTGAATTGTCTTAGGATTCATGTAATAATTGTTGCTATGTATTATTAAGCACTAAATCTATTCAACTGCATGTGTAAATGGGGAAAATGTGGATATGTAAATGATGTATAATTGCAATGTGTAAAATGTGACATTTTCTTATATGAGGGAGTCTGTTCATGTAATTTTTTTTCATTAATTATTTTATTTATCTTGATAAAATTATTTCAATTAACAATATTGTTTTTCTTACCAGTCTGATGAACTCAACAAAGGTTACAGAGGTGAATGGTAGAAATATGGGTATTACAGGTGTCAAAACTCTTCGTTGATGACCAGACTGCATGCCGCACTGTAAAATCACCATTTTGGATCTTTAAAAGGGGAGGCTACTCCCGAAATCAAAGAAATTGTCATAAAAATGAGTAACCTGATTTTCTTTAGGTCTCACACAAGGAAATAATTTCACTACTAATATATGTTATTATATAGCTTTAATTAAATAAATTAATTAACTAGACTCTCAGCAGATAATTCATGAATGAGAAAAAAGATTAATGCTTAGACAAAATTTGAGATCAGAAAAAATATACCCCTTATGCGGCTTTTAAGAAAGAAAATTGAGACTAAACATACCTATACCCCGAAATACACATGGGCAAACAGCCAACACACCATCGAGGAAGTTACATCGATCATGCGTACCTAAAAAAAAAAGAGTTCCCTTTGATTCAGTGGCACAATTCTGCTGATATGATATTCCTAGTGCATGAGTCCAAAATTAAAACTGTAGACCTACGTAAAGTTCCTGAAAATGAAAAAAGAAAAGAAATATTATTGTCTCTATATACATCATACATAGAACTACATTTGTTCATTTTAATTAGCTATCTCCTTGCATAAGACCTCTAAGGGTAATTTTATGCTATTTACCATGTGCACTGATTGCCATAAAACTAAAGAAAAAATACCAGCCTTACAAAGTCACTTAACCATGACCTTTGACATACCTTACTAAGAATACCCTGGACAATTTGGTTTAACTTAAGACTTCTGAATTTTTAAATGCAGGTTTTGATAAATTAACCATTTAATATACTTATGAGCTCATAAAACTGTTCTTTAAAACTGTATGATAAAGAGTGTAAAAACTTTGAAACATGTTTGGAAAGTATTATCACACATGTGATATGGGATAAATTATCACCACAGAAAGATCAAAGAAAATCACTGCAGATATGCGACAATAATTCTTATCATTGTTTATTGTATGTCAAGTCTAGAATATGATATATCATTACAAATATTATGATTTTTAGCTGGGCACATTGCTCGTAAAGCAATGCTCAGCTATTGCGACGGTGAGCAACAGAAAATGCTGCTTCTTCACCGAGTTTACGAGTAAAAGTATGGTACGTGCACCAGCAGCTGTTGAGAAAACAAAATCCAGGGTACAAAAGTATCACCTAAAAACACAGTACCAATTTCTTGCCATATATGCGGCTCAATACATTTACTATAAAAATAATTGGACAAATTTGTGAATGACAATATTCAATGATGCATAGCAATTAATCTTTTGAAAGTTTTCCTGACATTCACCTTCTCCTAAAAATTTGTCGTGTTATTTATTTATTTATTGCAAAGTCGTCCCTGGACTAGTGCTACGGTCAATGCAGCTGCAATGGGCCATGCAATTTCGAACCCTGCGTGGTGAGAGTTTGTCCCGAGACACAGTTAGATTATTCTAACTAGCACCAATATAGAATAAATCATACCGATTAATCAACATCACTACAATATGAGGACGTAAAAATAGGATAAAACATCCTTTAGTCCAGCAATAAGCCACTCAATTGTTTTTGATGTACCTTCAAACAAATCAAATTAATGTTCTTGATTCTCACTTTTCACGTTATGACTGACTTAGTGCTTCTTGATACCAAAACAATTTTTCTATTACCTATAATTTTGACTTTAGGTTGAATTCGCCAATTTCATGCTTGCGAAGTTGTGTCAATGTGTGCATTACGACCGCTCCGGCTACTTTCGTTATTTCTAACCAATGAAAATTGTCCTTACTTTTCTGTTGCGTCATGCAATTTTATTGCACGCATCACTGAATTGTAGAACACACATCACAAGATTTCGAATATACATCACAAGATTATCGAACATACATCACAAGATTTCGAATATACATCACAAGATTATCGAACATACATCACAAGATTTCGAATATACATCACAAGATTTCGAACATACATCACAAGATTAATTATAGAATATACATCACAAGATTTCGAATATACATCACAAGATATTGAACATACATCACAAGATTTTGAACATACATCACAAGATATTGAATATACATCACAAGATTTCGAATATACATCACAAGATTTCGAACATACATCACAAAGATTTTGAACATACATCACAAGATTATAGAATATACATCACAAGATTTCGAATATACATCACAAGATATTGAATATACATCACAAGATATTGAATATACATCACAAGATTTCGAACATACATCACAAGATATTGAATATACATCACAAGATTATAGAATATACATCACAAGATTTCGAACATACATCACAAGATTATAGAATATACATCACAAGTTTTAGAATATACATCACAAGATATTGAATATACATCACAAGATTTTGAACATACATCACAAGATTTTGAATATACATCACAAGATTTCGAACATACATCACAAGATTTTGAATATACATCACAAGATTTTGAATATACATCACAAGATTTCGAACATACATCACAAGATTTTGAATATACATCACAAGATTATCAAATATTGCAACGTTTGACATGCCATAGTGGTCTGATGATTTTTTGAATTTTCACTAAAATTATGCGATGATTCACCATTTCCTCCGAATTGTAAGAAACTGCTGGCAGTTGCATTAACACTCGATCTTTGTACCAACAAATGCTTCTTACATCTTTAGAATTAAGATTGAAATTGTACTCATCCGTTTCCAGTATTGCTCTCTCAATTTCCTCCTTTGCTGTTTCTGAATTATTTCATCCAGCTCTCTGAGAATTTCCTGTTTGTCTGTCAATGTCTCCAAAATTTTTCGCAATTTCCTCTTCATCTGTATTGTCTTCATCCAGTTTTTCAGAAGTCTTTTTACAGCATTTCTCCTTTCTGCTCGGACTGCCTTCAGTTTAGAAGACATCTCTCCTTTTTTGTCACGGTACCAATGTTAGAATTTAACACTCATAAGAAAAACACATCTGAATCGTACAGTGACTCATATGAAAAACACATCTGAATCGTACAGTGTTTTTTAATCTAAACAAGCATTAAACATAACGTCGTAGTAAAGTCTATGACGTCATAGCATTATGACATCATACTTTGGCAAAAGTCATTAACATATTTATCAAGGTAATTTAGAAAAGTACTACTGTCTTTAATTCACAGCAGCCTTAATATCACTCGCGAAGCCCTTGACATGGAAGGTGTAAGCAGTGGAAGTCGGTAGTAGGTTTGAAAAATATGCTCGAATATCCAATCATTTAGTATCTAAGAATCCTTTTTGTGGGGAGGGGTGGGGGGTATAAATATTCGAATTCATTATATTTACACTGGTGTAAGAAGGATTGGAGTGACGAAAAGTATTCAATCTCACAGTCCATAAAACAATACAAAATAAGAGCAAAATAACACGTACTCCCAAAACATCAGAGGTGGGATAAGGTGCCATCAAGAATTGAGCATCCGCTGCCGACCGGTCACACCCGCTCCTTGTCATGATCAGGAAATAACGGAAAAATCTGTCGTCAATTTAGTGTATAAATAATGGACTAACAAGATGAACTAGATGCTGTCATGAGACAGTAATACCCGCACTATGGTGTTTGCCTCTAAATGCACACTTCTTCATATTGGGCTTTACCAAGGAAAAAGTCAATATAATTCAATAATTTACATAATACATGTATTCATCAAATTGAGCATAATATGCTCAGGTGACCATGTAGCTGCAGATCTGGTTTTATATATTTGTCTTTGATCATAACGCTACAGATCCCCATATGCAAAAAAGGTGCAATTTACGCGCAATATTTTTTTTAGCACTTTTGGGCAGAATTTCTCCACTTTCTAGCATTAGTCAATCAACTACCTTTCACTCCCTAATTTTGGACACATTCTCTGGCCAATATGTATATTTTGTCCACCTCCCAGCCATTTATAGTAATCTCTACAGGCAATAAACTCGCTTGATGTGAATTTTCAGCAATCTAACAAATAATTTTAATCGAGTTTATCTCGAGTAGAGACGACTATAAAGGGTTGGGAGATGGATAAAATATACAGATTGATTAAATAATGTGCCTAAAATTAGGAATTGATAGGTAGTAAATTGACCGATGCTGGAAAGTGGAGAAATTCTCCCCATAAGTGCGCAAAAAATATTGCGCCGTAAATTGCACCTTTTTTTGCATTACAGGATCTGCAGTAAAATACTAATATATAAAACCATAACGCTACAGATCTGCAGCTAGTGACCATGTGACCCATGGGCCTCCATTTTATAGGTATTTCATATTCTTAATTCATTACCAGTCGGAAATTAAACTACAGAATTTAATTAATGATGTAAATTAGGTTTGATAAAGGGGGGGGGGGAGGATTTTTGGCACATAATTGGAACTTTTTAAATCTATTTTCTCATATAGATTAACAACAAATAATATATTATTCAAATTAGTGTAAAGCGTTTTTGATGAATTTTTCAATATGTGCAAAGTTTATTTATATTTGATTAGGCAGAAACTTCTTGAAAGCTGCCATATACACAATCAATTTAATGGTCAACCCCCACCCATCTCCCATCAACACACACACACAAACACACTTTATTTGTCTGTTTTTGCAAATAGGCCTAGATTGCAAAGCTAAAATAAAACATCTTTTGTAAATGATAATTTTCAATTTGTTCTTGCACTATACATGTATCTAAACACCTGCATCACATTTGGCTTGCGTCACGTACCCAACTTAAGTACTAGTTTTACCATTGGCATTATCATTTTAGATTTCACTGCACGTGCAGTAGGATACTAGTGTGCATCATTGCATATATGTCGGTAGGAATTATTTCATTGTCCCCCGCTTGAAAAGTGGGGGATATTAATTTGGGTTTGTCCGTCCGTCTGTCCGTCCGTCCGTCCGTCCGTCCGTCCGTCTTTCTGTCTGTCTGTAACGCTTTCGTTTCCACACGAGTTCTCGAGAACCCTTTGAGCTTTTGCAATGAAATTTAGCATAGCAACTCCCTATGGACTAAAGAAGACCCCTATTGATTTTGAGCTCAAAAGGTCAAAGGTCAAGGTAATAAATAAGCAAATTCTGTCTGTTAAAACACTTTCGTTTCCACACGATATCTCTAGAACCATTTGAGCTATCGCAATGAAATTTTACATAACAACTCCCTGTGGCCTAAAGAAGACCCCTATTGATTTTGAGGTCAAAAGGTCAAAGTTCAAGGTCGTAAATTTATACATTCTGTCTGTGTGTAACACTATCATTTCCGGGCGATATTTCAAGAACATTTTGAGCTTATGCAATGTAATTTTATACCAAAACTCCCTAGGACGTCTCTCGCCCCTCTCAAAGTGTCCCGCCCCGTTTGTTTTATTAGTATTTATAGTATTACATGTCGCTATTTTTAGCGCAGGGGCATGAGGAGAGTTATTGCGTATAAAACAGGTTCTCGGCGGACTGTATGTTCTTATTACATCTATTATAACTGTTTAATAAAGGCTAAATAAATCAAACACCATGGATTGTGTAAAATTTTGAGAATACCGAACATGAAAACATGAATATATACATGTATGTGACTTCAGTTCTGCATATACATCGCTCCACGTAAAGCGACTCCGTGGTGTAGTGGTTATGTCTCTCGCTTCAAATGTGAGAGGTACCGGGATCGAAGCTCGGTCGAACCTTTCTTTTTTTTTTTTTTGCTTTTTTTTTAAATACTTTTTTTTTTTTACTAAATGATAGTATTCAGCATGTGAAATGAAAAATTTATGAGGTTATAAAATCATCATTACAGTGTGATAAATATTCCATATAAAAAAATCTTCTGTACACATAATAAAGAATAAGCAATCAAATCTTTATATGCATATTGACATACATGTATTTTATTTCCTTCAGTATACATGTATACATTTAATAATTCTACAAATTCAGTCAGGGGGAGCCGACTTTTTCCTAGCTGCAGATCTGTAGCTCTCCGAAAAAATATATTGATAGACCGGAGAGCTTCAGTGCCACCCATTGAAAAAACTGTATATTTATTGCGCACAAAAAAGTGCGCTCGGTTCTTGATTAATTCTTCCAAATTCTTACTTTAATTGCAAAAAATGAAAGATTTTAAACATTCCTTTCTCCTCTGTCAAGTACTCTCGTAGTTGACATCTGAACGAAGCATATTGGACCGAATTATCCTTGAAACCAAAATGGCAGTATAAATAAGCGAAATGTTCTATTATTATAATATCAGGGTCAAGAGGACTATTAACAACAATTATGAGGAATGTTTGGTTGTGGAAACAGCGAAAGAATATGTTCGGAACACACGGTTAGTAATGTTTTGAGATCACAGTTTAAAATCATGGAGAAATAAATCGAGAACCGAGCGCACTTTTTTGTGCGCAATAAATATACAGTTTTTTCAATGGGTGGCACTGTAGCTCTCCGGTCTATCAATATATTTTTTCGGAGAGCTACAGATCTGCAGCTAACCTTTTCCCTAAGCGGGGGACACGAATTCTCTGAATTAGCTTGTTTTGTGTTTTAACTGGACTATATTTCATGAAGATGACAGGGCCTAAATAATAACAATCGGTAAGTACAAGTTTTGGTATAGATTTGGGTAAATTAGTCTGAAATGCAAACGGTTAGGTTAAAGTTTAAAGGATCAAAGGTCATCCGATGCTACAATAGACGAATTTCACATTCTGAAGAGTTATCCCCCGTTATCAACGTTACATTCAGTTACAAGATCCAGAATTTTTTTTCTGGGAGGGAGGGGGGGGGGTTCCAGACCAGAATTTCCTGAGAAGCAAGAAAAAAAAGAAGTTATGGTTTGGTCTGTTTTCTAGGGTGGAGGGACACTTAGGGCATCCAAAGTCATTTTTATTTCCTCCAGTATATATTATAGTCCTGCAAATTCCGGGGGAAG